CGGTTTTACCGGGCAGTTCTGTTTGTGACGATATACATATATATATGTATATATCGTCACAAATAGATATATATATATATATCGTCACAAACAGAACTGCCAGGTAAACCGTAGGCAGAGAGAGAGAAGAGGACAACAAACGAGGGGCTGTGTATACTGTCACACTGTGAATCAGAGCGCGAAGGCGAAAAAAAAAGCAAAACAAGGGAAGGAAAAAAAAGTAAGGAAGGAAAGCCCCACCTGTTCATGACCTCTTACGTACAAGGCCGGCCACGTGGATGACAGGTTGAGCGCTGGCTGCCCTCATCCCCGTGTGTCACAAGGACCCACTTGCACGCAGCCAAAAGGCAAAGAGGTAAAGAAAAGGAGGAGGAAACCAGACCTCACAAAGGCAAGAGAAAGAGAAAGGTCAAAGAAAAGACAAAGGAAGAAAGCAAATGACACATCCCACAAATAAACCAATTGCCACTGTCACTACAAAGTTCAACATTTTTTATTTTTTTATTTTTTCTTCTTTTCTTTTTCTTATCTCCAAAAATTTGTACTTTTTTTCTTTCTTCTATTTGTCCTACAATTAGTGTTGCTCCTGATCGCTTGATTCTATTGACCAGTTAGGAAGAGGAGCCCCCACCCCGACAGATAGGACAGACAATGTATATATATGTATATATATATATATATATATCAGTATATCAGCCTCCTGATGCGTTGGTGAAACTCCGACGAAACAGTTTGCCTCAACCCCTCGTTTGTTGTCCTCTTCTCCCTCTCTGCGTACGGTTTACCGGACAACTTTGTTTGACTATATATATACATATATATATATATATATATATATATATATATATCGTCATCACAAACAGAACTGCCCGGTATATATATATATATATGACGATATATATATATATATATATATATATATATAGGAGCGCTAGCTATGATGAATTTCGGGCCAGTGGCCTATTCAGCAGTCTCATGAAAGACATTAATCTCTCTCATCTTTTTCATTTTCATTTAAGATTGAGTCTGCAGTGCGCTTCAGGTGTGTTAGGTCCATATTGGACTTAGGTTCTCTACATGTGCTGGTAAGTACGTCAGTAATCAACATATATATATATATATATATATATATATATATATATATATATATATATATTGTCACACTGTGAATTAGAGCGCGAAGGCGAAAAAAAGCAAAACAAGGAAAGGAAAAGAAGAAAGGAAGGAAAGCCCCACATGTTCATCAGCACCACTATCACAGGTGTTTTTTTTTTCAAAAACAAACAAACAAACAAACAAACAAACAAACAAACAAACAAACAAAAACAAAACAAAAAAAATCTTGACTCATCGTCCCACCATCCCACAGTTCCCACAGTTCCCACTGGGCAGCTGCACGAATGAGTGCCATATAATGCCCGGGTCTGTGTAAAATGCAGGCAGAAATATGAGGATGGTTATTGAGGTCATCGCACGGCGCCGCATGATGCATAAGAAGGTGGCGGCCGTGAAACGCTAACTGTAAGACATTTACAGTAAAGCCTTCTGAGGTAGTATAGTTACTGCCTTCAGGAGGTGGACTATTATGAGCATACAACAACTGATTTTCAACAGCGTCAAGCTGATAAGCAATCGTAACAAATTGGGATGCAGTATAACATTGCTGCTGATAAGCCTGTAGGCAGACATTTGTGGCTGTCAAACCACAAACATTTGATAGGTCTGCCCGCAGATCTGAATTGGTCACCACTGGAAAGCCAGATCTGATCTGGTGGGGTCGGCGCGTAAATGACGAACGCCGTTGACGTGGTAGAGCAGGCTGCCGGTAAGACAAAGAAGTTGAAAGAACCCCACAGATTACCATCAATACGACGCCGAGAAGGAGGGGGACTGGGAGGAGGGGAGAATGAACGAGCCTGCCGACGTCCCAATATGGACAACGAAGATAAGGGAGGGTCAGGTCTCAGCTGGCGTGGGGAAGAAGAAGAAGAAGAAGAAGAAGAAGAAGAAGAAGAAGAAGAAGAAGAAGAAGACGAAGAGGAAGGGGAAGAGGAAGGGGAAGAAGAAGAGGAAGAAGAAGAAGAAGAAGAAGAAGAAGAAGAAGAAGAAGAAGAAGAAGAAGAAGAAGAGGAGGAAGAAGGAGAAGAGGAGGAGGAAGAAGAAGAAGAAAAAGAAAAAGAGGAGGAAGAAGAAGAAGGAGGACGAGGAGGAGAAGAAGAAGGAGGAGGAGGAGATGACAAAGAAGAAGAGGATGCAGGCAATGAGGGAGGAGAAGGAGAGGGAGGGGGAGGGGGAGAGGGAGAGGAAGGCAGAGTATATATCGTCAAACAAAGGGGCTGTGACAGGGAGTGGCTGAGAGGGAGAAGAGGACAAACTGTTTCGGCTGAGAGGGAGAAGAGGACAACAAAGGAGAGACTGTGACAAACTGTTTCGGCAGATTTTCACCGACTCATCAGGAGGCTGAACCCTCAACAGTCTGCAGAATCCGTTAACTGATTACACTGTAAGTGATAATCCACCTTAACCCTGGTTGTGGTTAAGCATCAACGACTGCCCGCAACTGATACCCTGAGGTGGGCACCAACCACTGCCCTCAAGGTACCTGTGGCGAAAATCAAAGAAGACTATCACTCACCCACACCAGATGGAAAACTCTACAGATCGTTGGTTCACACCCCATCACAAGCCAGCAAAACACCCATGAAACAAAGAAAGTTCTATCATAGCCAGGCAGTGGCTGGTGCCCACCTCAGGGTATCAGTTGTCGGGCAGTCGTTGATGCTTCAGTGTAATCAGTTAGGGGATTCTGCAGACGGTTGAGGGTTCAGCCTCCTGATGAGTCAGTGAAACTCCGACGAAACAGTTTGTCACAGCCGCTCGTTCGTTGTCCTCTTCTCCATCTCTGCCTACGGTTTACTGGGCAGCTCTGTTTGCCGATATATATCGTCAAACAGAGCTGCCCAGTGAACCGTAGGCAGAGAGGGAGAAGAAGACAAGAAACGAGGGGCTGTGACAAACTATGTAAGGTTCGTAAACCTAAAATTCAATGAAAGTCTGAAAGAGGCAATACAACTACTGCCAAGAAGATGGTAGGGAATCTACTAACAGAGATATACTACAGCTCTTTTCTTTGTTTTGTTTTTTTTTTATAGAAAAAGGTGACGGCATTGACATATGATAACTAACCAGCCCTAGGTAATTTAGAATCACTGTATTTCATTCATCTGCTTGCGGTAGAGTTTGAACTCAGGTCTGTATTTCAACAGTTCAGGGGTGTACCAACTGAGCAAGGCCAGTTTGTCCAGTTTGTCCACAACTGTTTTCTCTGTTTTTATTTTCCTTCCTTTTCTTAGGGAATCCAGTAACAGAGAAATACTACAGCTGTTTTCTTTCCATTTTTTGCGATCTTTCTTTCTTCGTTTTCGTCGAAAGAAAAAAGGGAAAAAGAAAAGAGAAAGAGATGCCACCGCTCTTACAACTGCCAAGAAGGTGGTAGGGGATGAAGCAACAGAGAAATGCAGAAGTTCATAACCGATGTCTCCACTCGGCTTCTGTGAGAGACATGCTCAGAGACCTTTTCTTTTGAAAAGGGCGACGGCCTAGAGATATCATCATTGAACCGACTGCCCCCGGGTAATGCAGAGTTATTTCCTTCATCTGTCATATGTCCACACAAGTCTGTTGACTCTGTTCAAGCGGGCCCAGTTTTAGGAAGGCCCGGTTTTAGACAGACCCAGTTTTAGACAGGCCCAGTTTTAGACGGTCTCAGTTCTAGACGGGTCCAGTTGTAGATGGGCCTGTCTAAAACTGGGGGCACTGGAACAGAGTCAACAGGCTGTTGTGGGCATAGAGGAAATGAGACTACTGTCTTCACCCGAATAGAACGCCCAGTCAATATCGCTGTATCTAGACTGAAAGTTGCCCCATATACAGCTATAATGACCGGGCGTTCTATTCGGGTGAAGACGGTAGAGCTTCTGGGTTGCGAGCATATACCACAGCACAGGCCTCAATGTCCGTAAGATTTACGACATTCCTCGCATATTAGACAGGCTCACTCATAGATAGGCCCAGTTTTAGATGGGCCCAGTTTTTTTACAGGCCCAGCTTCACATGGGCCCAATGCTCACCCACAGATTGCTTCAGACATGCGCATTCACACAGAGAACCAACCTCTACTGCACCACACCTACATCGCATAGCGAAGCGATGGAAGACGCATATGGAAGAGGGACGGGGATCACACACAAGAGTGTGACCATTACTCACCAATCGCAAATAGGAAATTACATGACCCAATGCCTACTGCCCACCTTCTATTCCTCCATAGCCCTCCGCATCCCACAACACCATAGCATAGCAGAGGGCTGAATCATCATGAAGACATGTACAGCAGTGGGCCACACACTGGACTTTACTAACGGTGCAAATTACCGAAACCACCCGCTATTCGCCACCTTAATTCCGCCTCCCATAACTCTCCAGGTCCCTCTCCATAGCTACGTAATTAGTGGCCACTGCACTTCGCACTCAGGCTTCCTGGCCAAAGGAAAACCCTCCTGTTGGCCCCCGGGTCACAAAAACGTGATGGTCAAACTTGATGACGTTCCCAAGAATTGTAGCAGCCAGCTCGCTCTCGAGAATCACAAAAGCTGATGACTTTGTTTCATGATGTTTTATTTGATTCTGACTTGCCGGTGGAATACGAACCGGACTGATGCTCCCCGGAATGGAAATGGAGCCAGGGCCATAAGGACCTGTTTTCTGTATTAAAAATAAACAATAATAATTTGCCACTGTGAAGTTTGGGCTCGAATCTTCAGTGCTCGACTCTCTCCTGCACACTGTGCTTGAGCAGCGTAATTGGTTGGACAATGAGATCCTTTAAATCCTACTGAACCAGAAGAGGACGGACTTGACATACTCGCTCAGCTGAGAAATGATGCAGGACGAGTTATGGGTGACGCGTATAATCTTGGTGAACAGCAGTCTCTTCTTCTGCACACTCAGCTGAGAAATGATGCAGGAGATGTCATGGGGCACAGCCGTGAAGGCGGTCTTTTCTTCTGGGTGAAGCGTATAAAGCATAGTGTAAAGTTGTAAACAGTGTAAAGATAAAGATATTATAAGCTCATGGCAGTTGGTTCCAAAAGTGGAAATGAGGGAGGACCCTTTGTACATGCAGGAAAATGGGACTGGTACCAGTTCCTGGGCCTTTTCAAGACGAGCAAAAGTAACAGAAGGTTACCCGTTTCCCGTTTGTTGAAGCCACCTTTACCAACAAGATAATATTGCATTAATTTGGGCAATAGGACGAAGTCCTGGAGATATCAATTGGTTCTAGAGAACTTCGTAGTCAGAATCGAAGTGGAGATTTGTGGGACCTTTCTAAGGCGGATAACGGCCTAGCTACTCAAACTTTATTCTTAAGACTGAGTCCATCTAAAACTGGGCCCATCGTAAACTGAGCCCATCTACAAATGGGGCTATCTAAAACTGGACCCTTCTAAAACTGGGCCGATCTGGGCCCATCCAAAACTCGAGTCCATAAAAAAACTGGGCCCATCTAAAACTGAGTCCACCAGAAAATGGGCCCGTGTAGAACTACGCCCGTTTTAAGGACCAATTCATCGTTCTTTACTTCTGGAAATAAGTGCTACAGACTATGAGGCTGTGCTAAGGGCTTTGCATCTCCTCTTCTTCTCTGTGGCTGTGTTGATGGGGCTTCCTTCTGGGTGACGCTAGGAGATGTAGGGTATCACCTCTGAGAGGAAATAGGCTACGGAAGGCTGTTCTCAGGCTGGAGAGCTTGGCAGAATCTGAGAGAGACAATTTGGGACAAAGATGGGTGTTCTGCAATGGCGGAAGACTCTCGGAGTCTCGGAGAGGTTCTTGGAACACTCCGGAAACTGACACTGAGCTTCCTTTTGGTGTCTGCCAGCTGAGGTAATTGGGCCGAGGCGGCGAGGGATGAACCTCGATCATACATACATACATAGTGTAAACAGCGATCTGTAATGACCTGCCAAAACACAGACTGAGAACACTGCTGATTTCTGGGATTTGCCGCTGGAATGAATGCCTTGCTGAGATTCCCGCATTCTGCTGTGATTTCTAAGTCTGTGAGTGTGTGTGCGTGCCTGATGGTTTGCGTGCCTGTCTGAGTGCTTGTCGGCTGACTGTGTGTGTGACCCGCAAGGGTACTTGTTGGTTGAAAGGCCCCGCAGGGCCGGTACTTACCTGTGGCCATGACTTTGAGGGTTGCAGCGGGGAAAACACTCAAGTAGCGGGGGTAGGCCCACGACACTTAGAGCAGCGGGGAAAAGCACTCAAGTAGCAGGTAGGCCGGTACCATTCAAGTAGTGGTAGAAGTGTCGGGTACTGGAGGCGGAGCAGAAGAAGACAAAAAGTTGGCATTTCTAGAGGCCCAGTAGCGGTAGATTAGAGGTAGGCCGGTACCAGTCCAAGTAGCCTGAGTCTAGGGCCTGTCCGGATGATAGCAGAGCCTGCAGGCCCTGCAATGATGTTTCCCTCCGAAAGGGAGGAGGTACCGGTTGCTGGGAGGCCGCTTGGCCTAGGAAGTAACCGCCCAAGAGGCCAGTAGGCCGCTATATCTTTTGGAGGAGCAAGCAGCACCTCCTCATTTGTGGTATGCAAGGATTGGCGACATGTTGCTGGAGCCAAGCACTGGACTTGTGCAGCCCTGCCTGGAGGAGAAGAGCAGATGGGCGCTCAGCCTGGCTATGGCGAGTGGCCCAGCTTGAGGAGGAGGAAGAAGGGGGCGAAGGAGGAGAGTGGCGAGGTACCTACCTTGCTATGGTGGACACCATCTTCATCACCTTGTTGGGCGCCACATCTGGAAGGCCCTAGTTGGGGTAATGCCACACCAAGGAAGCTCGAGGCAGAGTCGGGCATGGCGGCTTAGTCAGCAGCGGCATAGCTGCTTTGGGTTGTCCTTTGGACAGGAGTGCAATGACATAGCTGCTTTGCGTTGTCCTTCGCACAGGAGGGCAGAGCCCTCAGTAGTCCGCCATAGCCTAGGCATGTCAGAGGAGGAAAAGGGGGGGAAGCCATAGCTATGGTGGAGCTGTTGTTGTGTCAGCAGTAAGAGGGAACTACCAATATTGATTCTGGTCCATCCACTCATTGTTATTATTGTTATTGGAAGAAGAATAAGATTGGCGAAGTGAAGGAGGAGAAGGAAGGTGGAGTGAGAAGGGGGATTTGTCATTGGTCTTGCTGGTGTACATCTTCTTCTTCTTCTTCTTCTTCTTCTTCTTCTTCTTCTTCTTCTTCTTCTTCTTCTCTCTCTCTTCTTTGGTCTCTATCTCTTTGCAAGTGCTTTCATTTCTTTCGCAATTGGGTGGCATTGTCTTTCATTGTGAATTTGCACTTTGGGAATGACCAGGATCGTAACAGATCGTTGATCTTTGATAGTGTACGGAGGGAAG